CACCCTCAGCTCCACCTCTCTTCCCTTTTGTGGAATTGTCTGGGCTTGACGGAACCTGTGACACGATCAAAATGGCGGTGGTGGCCACCTCCCATTTGGCCTCAAAAACGTGTTATTGGAGCCTATGGAAACCCATTGTCCAATATTTATATGTCGATGTTCCTGGACGAGACTAAATGTGTGCATTTGAGGCTTCTGAATTAAGATCATCCACAGTGTGTTGATCAAGTTGTGCTGGGCTGCAGAAGTCCACCGATATTGTTTTTTCTTTTGCTGATGGCTGATTTGTACTGCCAATTTTTATGGGTCACTTTCCATGTATTTAGACATTTCATTCCTTAATTTCCTGCAAAAAATCCACTAATAGCACCGGTTGATGTACAAAAGTTCTGAAGCTGAATTAGTTTTTGAACTCTGAATATAACAAACTTTTGATTTAGACACCTAAATAAAGTGAATTTACAGTATTAACCCTTTGGGCCCTAGGCCTTTTTTCTTTGGGCACTGGCGCCTCCCAATTGGGGAACTTTGGAGCTTCATGTCCCAAGTGTCAGTGATTGTTTGCATTCCCCGAGCACAGCTACAGCTACAATCAAAACAGTTTAAATTGTAAACAAAGCAATTTTGATACATTACGATAAAATAATACTTAAACTTTATTTTAGAAGAGCTGCCCTGTGTGAAAGTGCTGACAGGATGGAGGTTGTGAGTTCAAATTCCATTTAGGAAATTTATTCTATTGTTTTATTTATTCCAGGGGTCCTCAACTAAATTTGTTCAAGGTATTTTTTTTCCCCAGCAGACACCAGAGAAGGTCAGATGCTCTTCTAAAATAAAGTTCAAATATCGTTGTATCTTAATTTATTACAATTTAAAATGGCCTTGTTTCCCATCTGGGCTGTTTGATTGTGGTTTTAGTTGTTTGGAGAATGTGGACAGTTGTAGATGTTTGGGACATGAAACTGTAGAGGCCCCCAACTGGAGGGTGTTAGGGTATACGCAGATATCATTAGTGAACATAAAATACATTTAAATAAAATTCTGCAACAGCACCGGTCTGCCCGAGGATGTGCCTGTCTTTAAATTGGTTTTTACTAAGGACAAATATCAGGCGGTGTATAGAAAAGGTAAATAACAGCCCGATAGTTCGGTCTCCCTCTAATGGGCATCACCTTTAGCTTTTCTTCATGTTGAGTTGTAGAATTCCTCCTCATCTTAGCTGTTTTGAAACTTAAGTAAGTCACAATGGATCTTGTTTATCCAATCAAACACTTTAGAATGAAGATGTTGAGAGTTCAAAGTGTGAGGAGAAAGGGTTGTGATGCAGAGTGAAGGCCAGATCAGGGCCAGAATGAGGCTTTTTCTCAGCTTCCACATCTTATCTGGTCCCATCTTTGGCTTTCAGACGTGACATTGGTCATCTGTGTTTGTGTGTGAGTTACAGAGGGGCTCCGCTGTTTTTGTGTAACACAATTCTCAAGGCAGTTCACCACACCCTGCAGGCTTCATAAGCCACAGATTATGCAGTGCTCGCCGTATTAGCTGGCACATAAATAGAGAACAGAGCAAGAGCCATCTAAAAGGTCACATATTTCAAATGATCTGACACACTTCTTAGAAAAAATGTCCTTGTGTAGCTAATAAAACACGAAATAGCAGAATGTGGTTTTAATCGAGCGTTATGTAACAGTGTTATCAGGACTTATCTTAGCTTGTGGTGTCACCATGCATGGGCCTTGGGCTTGGCAGGAAACCACATCATTTCCTGTAAGCAGCATCAATGGGCCCTCAGATGAAGGGATGGTTTCATGGTTTCATGGTTTGTAGGGCGACGGTGGCACAGGAGTTAAGTGCTCACCCCATAATCGGAAGGTTGCAGGTTCGAGCCCCGCTCAGTCTGTCGCTGTCGTTGTGTCCTTGGGCAAGACACTTAATGCCTGCTGGTGGTGGTCGGAGGGACCGGTGGCGCCAGTGCTCGGCAGCCTCGCCTCTGTCAGTGCGCCCCAGGGCAGCTGTGGCTACATTGTAGCTCATCCCCACCAGTGTGTGAATGTGTGTGTGAATGGGTGAATGACTGATTGTGTTGTAAAGCACCTTGGGGGGTTCCAGGACTCTAGAAGGCGCTATATCAAATACAGGCCATTTACCATTTACCATGAATGGATAATAGAAAAGTCACAGAGTCAGTGATGTGCATCATTCCCAAAAACCTTTGCTTATGCATTTACAGGAGTGCCTGTAAAGCAAGTCAAGTCGTATGTAGGGAGTAGGCCCTATCATAGGGTTCACGGCAATACCAAAAATACATCACAATATGCTAATTATGATTGATATCAAAGGCAAAGATGTCTTTGAATAAAGTGTTTCTGTCCTCGGTGTTCCATCTCAGAGCTTTTTTTACCATTCTTTGTCACATTTTGGAGAGGCTTGATATCCTTAGCCAACAAATTCATAATGGCATTTAAAATTTCTGCCCACCACTTGCTCTTGCTGTCATACAAAGTGAAAATAGCCATTTTTGGCTGAGTCGCTACATCATGTTTACTTTTGGTGCACTTATGGTTTGCAGTTTCTGCCTCCACCTCCAGTGCTTGTTTTTGCTTAAAATAGTGGAAAATGGTTGTAGTCGAAAAATTTCCATAACTTCTGAATGTTTCTCTCTGACATTTAATTCTTGTGCACATTACCGAATTTCATTACTTCTCATTACAGTTGGGCTTTATATTTCAATTTTATCCCAAAATCCCCAAAACAGTCAAATTTTTAAAGAAAATTCTTTTGTCACATTCAGCTTTATAAGCATGTTTTTTAAACGTCTTCCAAATGACAACTGCTTTGTTAGCCATTTATTTTAGCTATCAACTTTAAGAGGTGGATCTTCTGTGGCTTCATTTCCACTTGTTGACCCTCCTGATAAAAGACTTGCGTTATGTTTACTTACGCCCTGCTCGAAAATGCGAGCTTCCATAGAAGCTTTTCTGTGTTTTTTTAACAAATGCATCATCCCAGTTACTGTTTTGTGACCTACTAAAAATTCAACTATGCCCCCTGCTGATGTAAACGGGTAACTGCAGTCTCAGAAATACGCAATATGTTTGGATTTACGTTAATATAAAATGTCTGCTACAAAAACCGGTTTCAAGATGGCACCTATTGATGTTCAACAAAAAGTTCCTTGAGGGCTTCATCCAAATTAAATAACCTTGCATATTACGTATATATAACATTTTTTGCTCTGTAGCTTTGTGTTAACTTTGCCAGGTGTCTTTTTGTGTATGTAAATAAAGTTGAATACTCTTGATTTAAAAACATTTGTTATTGGATTCAGGGTTTCCCCCAGAAAGCGAGTTAAGCCAGGCGGATTCGGCCGTCATGGGGGGGGGGGGGGGGGGGTTGGTCCGCACGCCCTGTCCCGCAGCACTTAGCCTGGCGGGTGGCCAAGCAAAGCCTGGCAGGCCGCCAGGCTTATAAAGCGCTGGGGGAAACCCTGGTATTTATATTCTTACATAATTAAGCAGTCCAACTATAAGGTGATACTTCATTATCAAACCAAAATGTTTAGCTAACATGGACGATGCAACATGGTGTGGCCTGAAGGTTTTTACTGTGGGGCAAACTGAATGTTTATGATGTCCGTAGCTTAGTGGTTGATGAAAACAAACCGTTTTAGGGATGTTTTTAGATCCATTGCAACAAAAACTAGATTATGCATTAAAAAGTATTTAATCAGCTCTGAAAATGATAAGCTAGATTTAAATGAAATGAATTATTCTGTTTTTAAACCTCTCCACTGACCCAAATGCAGTAAAATTTCTCTTTCTCAACACTTCTTTATTTCCTGTCAGTGGGATGCTAGCATTCACAGTAGACACGTGCTCTGTGTTGTTTGGGATAGGAGGTTATGTACTGCCTGTGTGAGAGCTCCACAAGATCCATAAATGAGCACTGATTAGATTATATTGGCTTCATTGTGGGGGCAGGCCACATGCTTTTACTCTTTACTGGACTATTCCTGGCTTGTGATGGGGGGGGGGGGGGGGGGGTCACAGCTGTTTACTGAGCAGATGTTATTCAGACTGTCATAACCTATTGATTCAACATTTTTATTTATTCCAATATGTGTTAATTTTAAGCTAAAATGATAGCATTCAGAATGTTAAAACAAATTGCAGCCATTTCTCTTGAAAATGAGCGGCTAATCTCTGTTTTTTTAAAACGAAGAAGAGTTTTAGCAGGTTTTTAACTCATTCAAAAGGAAGCTCTGTTTCTGGGGATTAGTGCTTTGTGGAGATTAGACCCATCCATATTTTCAGAGTTTATTTGCACCCAGCTTCGACCAAAGTCATTCTCTCTAATCCAGAAAAAGGAAGTCTTGTTTAACTGCTGGAGACTAGTGAGAAGAAATATGCGTCGTAGTTTCTTTTTCATTGGAACAAGGTTTTTTATCTGGCTGGGTCCATTTTTATTTGTCGTTTGGTTGCCAATGTAAGAATTTAATTTACACCTATTTAATGAGCCATAAGACACGAGATTCCATAGTAAATATGAAATCAATCTTATGGATCTTTGGGTACTTTTAACCAGAAGATTGGAACTTTTTATTGCAGGGATTATGTAACAATTCATATTAACTGAGAGACAAGAGAAGAGAGAGTCACCTTTAAAACGTTTAAGAAGATTTATTTCTAAACAGTTTTAAACAAGACTAACTCTAAACTGTAAGTGAATGGATGGATCTTGGTGTGAATGAGACGTGAGATGAATGGTGTATGTGAGAGTGATGTTTGTCATCAGAACTCTCGTATCCGCAGGAGCAAGTCTGGGTGATGAAGTGATGTTTTGATCTAAAGTAGGGCTGCAACTAACGATTATTTTCATAATCGATTAATCTGTCGATTCTTTTTTCGATTAATCGATTAATCGGTTTGTTATTGTTTAGCTATTTAACCTATACAAGTGATGAATACATTTCAGTTAAGAAAAAGAAAAACATAAGAGAATTGTGCAGTTGACTGCAATCTATTTTATTGCACATGACCACAGTCAGCAGTGTAAAATGAGCTAAACAGTGCAAAATATCAGTCCAGAATAATTTTTTGGCATCAAAATATAAGAGGTAAATTCCATAAAAAATAATGTAGAATCTGGAATAGAGTTTGTAAGTGGTATGCATTGCTGGGGGTGAGTGTCTTGTTCCCCATGTAGTTGTCCATCGTTGCTTGTTTTTTTCTGCATAAGAAACACAAATAAACTGAATTAAGTACACATATAAAATAAAGAAGCACACACACTACAACACTAAATCAATATTACATTATTTGAATTAATTAACAATATACAGTGATCATTTATTTTGACAAAAATGTGTTGTGAGGCGTTTTACAGCGTTAGATAGTAAAACAGCCTTTTAATAGTTAAAAAAAGGACTTTCTGAATTTCTCCTGTATTTAAAAATTGAAAGCGTACAACTATGCCGCGTTATATTCACCTGGACACAGCTCGTCTGTATATTTTTCTCCGCGGAGTTGTCCTTTTTTGAATGAGGAACACAGTTATGGGTTTGTGCCGTTTTTCTCTTAACGAGAACATTCTTATAAACAGACGTGCTAAATTTGGCAAGCGCATGATTCACAACACGGAGGAGATTCACGATTGCATCTAGTCAATCAGAAGTAGAACACCGTAAACTGACGCGGCAAAAAAAAAAAACATGTTTAACATCCACTATAACGAACTCAGCTAACACTAAGTCCCAAATGTGATCTGCGTTAGCTTGTTTATTTTCTGTTACTTACCGGACATTCCTCTGCTGCATCAGCCCCCACGTTTTCGTCTCAAATGTTCACTTAGGGACGTCGTGCTTCCGTCGTGCCATGGTTTTTGCATATTTTGTAGGTCACCGGTCTTTTCAAGGCATCTAGTGAAGTGCTCCCATACTCGTGAGGTTTTTGTCCGGGGTTTCTCTTGTTTTGTCGCTTCTATTTTTCTTCCGTATTTGTTGTTGATCCGCCATCTCTCACAGCAAGATGCGCGTCAGTAACGTGATACGTCATGAAAACCGAGGGCACTTATTGGCTAATTTCTTCTTCTACGGCCCCACTGGTAGATCAGTGGCTCATTACTGCCACACACTGGCGGCAAATTTAACAGATTGTAACCGATGTCAGATTGTGGTAAAAAATAGACTTTATGCGGTAAAATATGATTATTAAACAACTAATCGATGACTAAAAAAGTTGTTAACTATTTTAATAATCGATTATAATCGATTAAATCGATTAGTTGTTTCAGCTCTAATCTTAAGCTATGATCGGAGTTTCATAAACACATGAGACGCCATATTGTCGCTCCACACATACCCTTCAGGATGAGACCTCTGTACAGATCCAGAATGCCAGGTCCTCGGACCCCCCCTTCGGTACCGGAGCCGATGAAACAGCATCAGCAGTATGGCAGACTAGTCTTTGGATTGTCTCCAGGTAAAAAGCGACCGTTGGTTGACAGCGTCAGATGGACCCGGAGGGTCAGTGAGTTCAGCTTTTATTCTGAAAGGAACCGTTGCTTGGTTGGTAAAATGCAACAGATTTTATCCAGCTTGTTGGTTCTTTGCTTAAAAGGAAGTCCGGGTGGCCGGTCCGATACGTCTCTTAGAATGCGGTGAACTGTCTTAAGATGGTGTGGGGACTGGTTTTATTAATCGGGATGTTTTGATTTACGGTCGAATTAAAGTTGGACAGATTTATAAAAAACACAGAGACTATGCCACGCTTCAGAAAGGAAGGATCCGATTGGATGAGTAAAAGCAACGTGTCATGCGTTTACATTACGTGTGATCAGGATGTCTTGTGCAGCTAGATTGAAGTCATATTACTTATTAAAACTTACTAATCATAACATTGTCATTTCACAGATTGGTCCACATTATTATTTGACTAACACTTTGTTTGATTAGCTTTATTAAAAATAGAAAGAGTCCTTTCTTCTCTTGGGCTGGAAAGGAAAACAGTTTAGATGCAGATGCATGAGACCTTGAACAATATCTCATGCAGATTAGTTCTTGCTGGGGGGGGGGGGCTTTTAGGTGGAAAACAGTCATTTCATTCCGTTACACCAACCAGTCCCAAAGTTGTCTCACATTTCTCACACTTAAACTGAATAAAAATGAGAACCTTTCCTGATGCCCACAATGACTCAGCTAAGTGTTGGATTACTTTACTGTGGTAAAAATGAGAAAAGAGAGATACTTTCTTTACTATTTTATAGTTTTGCCTTGTCTCAGTACTAATATTAGCTCATTCTCTGTAGAGGTTGTAATGTTAAATAAGCTTATTAATATTTTTTGAAGTGATGATGTTCCTTTGATTCCACTTCTGAGCACCAAGTCCCTGCATGCTGTCAGTATCAACAATCAGCCTAAAAACTATTCATATTCATGTGACTAAAATATGTTTGTTTATTCATTTAGCAGACACTTTTATCCAAAGCGACTTACAATTTATAACCTATAGGGCATGTTGTGATCTGTGGGGGAAACCGGAGTACCCGGAGGAAACCCACGCATGCATGGGGAGAACATGCAACTCCACGCAGAAAGGCAGCAGCCGAGTCGAGTTTCGAACCTGCAACCGTCGTGCTGCAAGGCAACAGTGCTAACCACTGCGCCACCATGCAGCCCAGGAACCATCTGCATCCTTTTTGACCTAAAATGACATCATAGCAGGTCAAATAAATATTATAATGTAAATCTTTCCTTTTTTGGCATGACCTTTTGGCCTGACAGTCTTTTGTCTGGACAATAACTCTGAATTTTAACTCTAAACCATCAACATAACCGCTCTGTAGTGCCAGTAGGTTTGGTGTGTATGGTAGATTAAAATTTCTGTGTTCAGTTTCCAGCCTTTCTTGTGTAAAAAACTGATTTCCTGTGACGTTAACATATTTGAGGCCGACTTCTGATGGTGGGGGCTGCAGCACTCTGCTCATCGTCCACCGTAGAGTGAAGATCTTTTTACAGAGTAATGAGAAAAAAAAAACTCTGACTGCGTAGCATCCCGCATTGCTGATGTGCAGAAGTAGTCCGATTTAGAGTTTGAAGCAGTATAGTTCTTAGGAGCTGCAGGACAACTTCAAACCTCATGCATGCTCTGTTTTACTAAAGGATGAGACTGTTACTGGGGCAGAAGAGGAAACGCCTTCCTGTGTGACTGTGTCCTGCATTGCGGCCTGATGCACGTTAATCTGGAGTGATTTTTATTTTTTTTGGTGCTCCGAGTCTCTTGCTGCCTCTGCCTGGCACTGCTGCAGAGACGAGCACAAGGAGGTACAGCGAGCTGAAAGGATGCTGAAGAAAGGAAAAACTGCATCCCGCTCTCTTTTCCTAAATTCTTCTTATTCTCCACCTTATATCTTGAATTTGGCTGTCTCGCTGTGACGTTGCCTTTGTTTCATGTCGACACCTAGTTGGACCTTTTTGCACCGGATTACTAATATATTTCTTCTTTTTAATATTCTGAGATAATCCCTGTGAGTTTTCATGCAGCATGAATAATTAACTGACAGCTAATGAAGCGTGGCTGGGCTGACGGCCACAGCTGACAGGATACCCGCAGGGCTCACAGATGGGCGCAGAGGTGAACCCCTTGCCTTCGGCTGATGGTTCGGTCTCACCTCTCTGCACGCTCCCTTTCCTCCCTGGCTTTGAGGAGTATTGCTGCCAGCAGGGCGCCTCCAGAAGCAGCAACAGGGATTGGTAAACACAGCTGAGGTGCAGGTGTCCAGTCAGCTTGTGTTTTTGTTTCAGTGCAAATGTCTCATTTTGAAGTTCTGGACTGTATGATCAGGAACAACTGGAACTTGATTTGTGATCTGTACTGCGCCTGGAACAATCAGGTCAGTTTCATATGGATTTATCAGTCTGGAGCAACTTTTCTTCTGTTTCTCAGGATATTTTTTATTATAGCATGCTGTCTGCAGGTCTTCATCGCCTCTCCTCACCTTTCTTATGAGCTTTCATCCCCTTTCTCCCCCATGTTGCTCCCAGGAGTTCTCCAGGAAAGGCATCCCTGAAATGTTGCTATTAATAACAAGCATTCATTCAAAAGTGTGGCGTGGAACAGGAGACCAAGGAGCGCTTGGCATGCTGACCTCCAAGTATCCCTGTGCTGCCACACAGACACACCAAACTTCTCGTGCATTGTAAAGTCACTCTGATCCAGTTATGTTAAGCTGTGAATCTCTTTGTCAGACGACTTTCTTTAAAGATGCTTTGTGCAACTTTTGCACCAAACACAGAAGGATGGTGCATCTCACTGACCACAGAGAGCTCTCCTAAAGAGCTCATTGTTGTTTATCTGGTGTGGGTAGTTTGTATCCATGTGCACAGAAGTCAGCTCTTGGCTCCCTTTAAAACTAGTCATATTTCTGATTTGACTCTTTGGCTTTTGCTCTGGACACAGAAAGTTCGTTGTTTCCTACAGTTTTTTCCCTGCTATCTCAGTTTTTTATTTTACCATGGAATGTGTGGTGCGAGGAGTAAAAGAAGCCTTGCTGCATGGAGCAATGTGGCGTGCCCCCTTCCCCTAATTTAATTTTAGCTGTGCTGAAAATTGTTTCTGTCCCAAGCTGAACTGATAGGCCTCTGTTTCCAGAGTGCTGCTGCTGTCCGAGCCGCTGAAAACAGCTTTTTTGCACCAGCAGTGCAGCACCAAGGCCTCATGAAATATTTACAGGCTAACACCTGGTGTGAGACTGAGAAAGAGCAGCCAGGGAATCAGCAACACTGCTGTCGATAACTGCAAGGCTGTACTAAAACGATGACATGCCCGGAATGTTTGTCCTCATTAATAACTTTGTCTTGTAAACCAACATTTCACAGATTTTCTGGAAAATAACTCTGGTTACTTCTTCATTATTTAAATCAGATCCAATTATTTCAATTCCCATCTCTTGGGTCAGCAACTATTACATAAGAAAGTGTTTGTTTCCCTAATCTGATTGGAACTTAATGCAAAATATAATAAAATAGAACTGAATAATTTCTCCTAATGTGGAAATATTAAATAAATAAAATGTGAAACACAAGTGTGGAAAAACAACCCTTACATAAACAAATAAACACACAAATGCCATTTTAAACATTGTACATTTTGTTTTATTATATGATATAACAGCTTTCCATTGACAAGCACTTGATCAGTTCCTCAGCTGATTTGAGAACCAGACAAGTGGATCTTTAATATTCTGTGTTATTCTAAAGCACCACCCACTGTTATTTCAGCTGTCAGCAAAACGCCTTCTACCACTTCAGGACTGCTGATCGGCTGTGACTAAAGGATTCATTTAGAGTTCATGTGTGAAACTTCAAAAAGCTTTAACGTTGTTTATTGACTTGTTACAAGTTAGGCACAATGTTTTGTTTACGTTGTGTATCCTTCTCTCCTTGTCTTATTAGTGACTGAATTCATGAGTGTGTGCCCACTTTTAAGTTTTGTTCTCAGGACACAGGATTTTATCTCAAATCAGTCCCAACATTGTTCCAAAGATCCCAAACTCCCTCTCAATGTCGGCACATTTTTTCCACTTCCTGACTCAGAAACTAAATTTCAAGGTGTTCTAGAACAGATATAGACACTCTTTGCCATCTCTGTGTCTAGTTTGAAACATTTTCTCAAAACATTTCAGAAACTAAAATATCAAGGCCTCCGTCTTGTGCTAACTTGTTGGGTCAATCCGGAATCCCTCAAAAAATGGTTAATTTATGGATCTTAGCAGCGCGAATTGTGAAAGACCATAAACAGGCACCGAAATAACCAGAATGATGCAACGATGATGTTACTGCAGCTAAACTAGGGACACTTTCCTCTCAGCGCCTCGTCTTCGGACTAAATCACCCATAATGCAACCATGTGGCTACTTTAGCAGCTAAGTGCTCAAACGCTGATTAAATTCCTATTGATTTTTAAATGATTTTCAACCATTAAAACTTCTGCCGTCCTTGAAGAAGATGTTCAAACTAAACTGATGTCTTCGCCGTGACACTGAGACATGTTATAATCTTTGTGTCAGAGGCCACGCCAACACAGCCAAACACTGTTCCAACCCTCTAAGAGGAACCAGGATTAATAATTCATAGATGAGAATACCAATTATAAAAGGCATTGCTTGCATCTGGGTGGTGGTGGGGGGGGGGGGGGGGGGGGGGCTGAGGACTCTAATTGGCCCACCTGCTCTCTGTCTCTGAGGGGTTGGCTGGGGTGACTGTCTGGGTGCACGTCCGGTCTTTGTTTGGATGCTT